AACGTTGACAGCACTGTAAAACCGGCTCGCGGGTTCACTTTCGGGGATTATCGTTTTGCACCAAAAACACGGAACCTTACTTATAGATTCCAGTCACAAATGTCCTTACCTGTGCACTAAAAAAAAAGAAGGTCAGTTTTTTAAAGGTTTTTGACGCCCCAAGCACTCCTTCACATCGAGAATAACGGTTTCACCTCAAAACACTGTCGCCCCCTGGCGCACAAGAAAGGCACCTGGGAAATGCAGAGCCTAAAAGAAACCCTTATAGGCTTTTCAAGGAGAACTCTATACACATGCCTCTGAGCAACCCCTAATAGGGTTTTTCCTGAATAACTTATAAATAAGGGAGTGCTTAAAAGAACTTTTTAGGTTGCAAAATATGAACGATCCAAAGAACCTACAAATTCTTTTACATACAGTAGTGAACAAAAATATATGATATTTCGGTTTTACGTGGGTAACTCTTCTTCAAACTGTGATACAGATATAACAACGGACACCTGGTGGCTAAAAAGGCTGCAATATGGTGTACCATATATCAAAACAAAATATTATTGGCTATTCACTAGACGTCGAGCAATACTTCTGGAAAAGAAACGAAATATCATATCTTTTTGTTCACTACTGTGTATATATATATATATATCAGGGTGTCGAACAGGAACCGAACCGAAAACCGGAACCGAACCGGTATTTTTTCCGGAACTGAACCCGAACCCGAACCGTTATATTGTTATCGCGATGAACCCGAACCGGAACTGAACCGGAAAAAAAATAATGGTTACCGGCTCATGTCAAAACGGTTCGGCCACGCGCTGTTGACAATGAATGTGCTATCAATGCCATTTGTTTTTTAAGTGCCGTCAACTGACACACACCTTCGCTTACATATTTTTCTTCTCCACTCAGTCTTAGGAATATAAACGCTGCATCCATGAATCTTGACAAACGCTGCATCCGTGAATCTTGACATAGGAACCAGTATTGCGCTGGTCGCGGCTTGCACGGAAAAAAAAGAATTAAAAGGCTGTGAAAAAAAAAAGTCGCGTCACGGGATTTTATTTTCCTACAATCTCGTAAATCCTAAATGCTGCTGCGTGCTCATTTCATAACACGTTTCTAGAACGCGCGAGTTCTTGAAGCCTGCTTCCATCGGAATGAGAAAAGAAAAGGCTGTGGAGTTTGATAATAATGCATCCGGTTTCGTATAGGCACTTAGAAGCTAACATATTTGTGAGACAGCGAACTCTTCTATTTTTATATTTATCCTATTACGTCCTTCTGGCGTTGTGTTCGGTAAAGTGTTTTTCATATTCCGTATCTTGTTTAATGAAAACTTCTTTAAGGGTCTAATTTGAGTTACCGAAGGCTAGTTCAAATAAAGAAAGCTGTATTTTCTCCCCACTGTTCCTTCAATTGCTTACACGCCGAGGTGGCGGGATAGTTAGCGAGTTCTACTTGTAAGCGGGTTTGTAAGGAGGTCGCGGATTTTACAGCTACTGCGTCGGACCCAATTAGATGAAGTCCGAATGCGTAAACGTCGGTGAGGTAACCTTTGAGTGCACATAAAGAAACCATTCCTTGTAGAAATCCCTGAGCCTTACCCTACGATGTATCCCGTTTCGTATGTGCTGATTTCAGATGTTTTATTTGTAATTTATTTTGATGTTGCAATTTGTCATTTATAATTTCCGAACCGGTTCGCGGACCGGTTCGCGGATCGAATTAGTCGAACCGGAACTGAACCGGAACAAAATAAGTTTACCTGAACCTGAACCGTAACCGAACCCGTATTTTTTTCGGTTCGACACACTGATATATATATATATATATATGTATATATATATATATTGTACGGCATGGTTGCGTACAGCGCTTTCTAGCGCCCAGAGCCCGAAATCGTTGTACGCCAGTGGACTTGGATAGAGCGGAACGGATCGACTTCCTGCCCGGCAGGAAGTGGATTTGTCGAAAGAGCCCCGATGCCGGCCCCATCTCCGAGTCTGCTTTGGGGGCGACCCGGCGATACGGCCACTGGCGTCGTGCGCCAGATACGACCCACGCCCCCCGAGCGAGCGGAAGGTCGACCGCCCTTGCGTCCACATTTGCCGACGGGAAAAGCATCCCTGCTTCGGTGTGTCTGAGTTCTGCTATGAAATGGCTTTTTTTAACGGGCGCATAACAAGCTTCAGCAGTTTCACTTTCAAATTTGAATATATAGTCAAATTTGAAAGCGAAACTGCTCATCATGTACTGAGTTGCATTTCCTGTGCAGGCTGCCGTTGAATGTCAAAGCTGGATAACACCACGGCATTATATCTACCATGGCGGATTTTCTTTCTTATTTGATGGGTTGTCTGGGTGATTTAAAATAGCATTTCCTATAGTGTGCTTTCACCGTGAATTTATATTTAGTCAATTGGAGCCGCGTTAATTACTGGTGTAACATGCTCGAACACGGTGGTATATATGCATTCTTTTTATCCAGTTACGTGAGAAGGCTGTCAATTAAACATTGCGGTTTACCCGGATGCTCTATATGCTTAAATAGCTGTCGCCTCGCACTTACTGTGGCATTAAGAACAGCCTAAAGTGCATTATCACCCCAACAACACGATAAGAACATATTACCTAAACGTCATTTACCTTATATCGATGTGACCCATAAAACATATATATGCCTCATGTTTGTTGCGTGAATTCCACACACTGGGGAAGAAAGCCAAAAACCGCACTCGAAAATCGATGACGAAAGTCAAAGCGCACACGAGAAGGGGTTGCGTGCGTTTTCGTCATTTTCAGCTATAGGCCTTTCTTGTTTCCCAATTTATTTGTTTTTACCTTTTCGTTGTAATCTATGGCGAAGGCGCACCACCAAGTTCAGTTTGTATCGGATGTCTCAGCGTTCCAGAAGAGTGACTTTCCCAACCTTCGTTGAAAGAGTGAGGAGTCATTCCTCATTGCAATGACAAATCTGAAAGAGAATAGAAAAAAAGAAAGGATACCACGTCGCTGCGCTTACTACAAAGGCTGTCATACGTGCGAGACTCACGAATTAGAGTTGGAGCATGCTTAACTGCACATCTACTGCAAACCCAAATCAGTGTGCACTATACGGGGAAGGCATACCAAATAGTCCATACTTTGCTGTAGTTACTGACGGGTTTGAAAATGGCAGGGAGATTGTTCAGTTGAGCTTCGATCGTGCACGCGCTGCGAAAGCGCGTCAGATGGCGTCGAGCGCATGCTGGAGGCAGGACAGCTACAAAGAAGACGCCGGTCTCATCTTGTCAGTGACCGTGATATCCCTTCGGGATTTCCGAATCTTACGATACGATACGATATCAAACGGAATGACGCTATAAGTGGGCTGCGAAATCTCAGTGCCAAGAGACTTTGTGGAGCGCAAGTTCGTCTGCTTCTTTTTGCAGGGGTTGTGGTGACGTCAGAACGACGCCGAGCTTTGATTGGCTCTGGTGGAAGGATAGTGGACCTCAAGGCAGCTTGCTTTGAGGTCTGCTCACTATCCTTCAATCAGAGCCAATCAGAACTCTACGTCGTTCTGACGTCACCACAACCCCTGCGAAAAGAAGCAGACGAAGACTCCCTGAGACTTCGCTGGCCACTTACCCAACGTCACTTCGTTTCACTTTCCCGGTCCGACTGCAGCCGACGCCCCGATGGAGCCAATCTAGGAGCGGGAAAAATGCGCCGTCATGGCGCTCATCGCCTCTGCGCCCGGTGAAACAAATCACACGCAGGAAAAAAGCTCGTGGCGCATTCACGGGGACGCACAAACGCGATGACTTATGGCGCTGCCTGATTAGCTCGATTCGATCGTGTAGCGTCGGTTGCGGTCGGTCTTTGTATCGTACGACGAAGCCCTCGTCCATCGAAGTCATCTGGTAAACCTTGAAGCGAGCGTCCGCGGAAGCGCCGTGTAATTGTTGTGCCGCCTAATGTTGCCTCGCCCGCCTCCGGCGCTCCTCGCGAGATGATCAAAATGACCGCGTGGGAGCGAGGAAATCCAGCGCCGCCAGAAAATGACCGTCGTACACGAACGCGTCTGCGCGGACGTGATCACACTCTCAATGCCTGGCCGAGGCGCCGGCTCGGAGCCACGCAGTCGTCGAGTCCTGGGCTGAGGCTGACGCCGTTCACGGGTCGCCTGGAAGCCCCCGCTCCTGAGAAAGAGACGCTGCACCGCTCATTCATTGGCATGCGAGGGCCACGCGCGAACGCGAGTTTGCCCTGGTTTCTCTACGGGTGACTGCACCTAGGCTAAACCGGTTGCTTCGGAGGATTTGAAAGTGTGAAGAAAACAAGCCTGTTTTTAAACTTGAGGTTGCGTAACCCCCGGGGGAGCGAAAGCTGTAGGCGTTTGTAAACACGCGATTTTGGGGCGATTTCAGAGCGTGATTTACGGTCCCAGTGAGACAGTTGTTGACTGGAAGCTTAATTGGTCAGTGAAACCTCGTGAGTCAGCCATTCTGGTCATTCGAAAGGGGTGCGCTCGGTCCTATCAGGCATCCACGCAGCTCTCTGTGCACATGCGATTGTAAACCTGCGGTCGCACTGGTCAGACGAAAGACAGACTGAAGACTGTCTGAAGCCTTCCTCGTATCCTGTCAGATCGGTCATAGAAAAACTGACTGCAGACATGAAACATACATGTTTCGAACATGCTCGATATGTGTCCGCCGATTGTCGTCATGTCCGCGATAAATACTTTTGTACGATGCATGAGTGATTGCCACAATGTGTATACCCTCGCGTGCACACTGCACCTGCTTGCCCGCGTACCATTCAGGACGAGAGATTAGATGTTGCAGGCACTGAACCACGAATATTGCGGGTCAAGAATTTCCGCGCAACTATAAAGCACGAGCTCATCATAAGAACATACGATTTGATCGTGATCACGCTGACTGATCTAAACATTTCGGTGAAGCGTACCAAATGGTCTGAAAAACGATCAAGGCGAGTGAAAACCGTGAAAATTAAACAGTGTGGTAACTTTTATTATGCTGCCCAAGGCCGTAACCACGATGCTGAGCGTTGTCAGCGATGGGTGATCTCTGCCGGTCGGGCAGATTCGTTCCCAGAGACTAGTCGGTCCAAAGAGTCAGATCGAAGCGGACACAGCACGGAATGGAAGCAGATCTCCCGAGAGGAACGACGAGGAGTCGCAGCTCGGACGGCCGCTATCACAGAATGTAATGACGGCTCGCGTGTCGGAGGCACCTGGCGGCCGACTGCGCTCACACCTCTTGAAGCCTTCCGAGGAAAAGGAGCGTCTGGGACCGCACGTCCTCGATGAAGAAGATGAACGGGTGGTCCGCCTTGAACTGCACTTCCTCCTCGGGAGGCCTGGAGTGACGCACGATGCCAGAGGACAGGGCCACGGCCTCCGTGCCCTGTTCGTCGACGTCCAGGAGCGCCTTGTGGAGGACCTCGTCGAGAGACAGCCGTCGCGACCCCGAGATTCCGGAGAGGTTGGCGCCCTGGGCGTTGAACGCCTCGCGGACTCCGAGCGATTGCAGGACGCTGCGGAGGCTGTACGACAGCTGAAGCTGGAACTTGGGCAGTCGGACATCCACCCTGCGCTGCACCGCCCCGGCTAGGGCCTCGCGGATGGGCTCCAGGGCGAAGCGCCTCTCCAGGTCCGGGAGCCCGTCCCGCTTTCGGGGCAGCACGAGCACCATGACGACGCGGTCGCCCTCGTAAGGCAGCTCGAGGATGTCCGCGTCGAGGGCGTCGCTGTACGCGTACACCAGCTCCTCCTTGACGTGCATCATGTCCACGGGCACAGCGCGGGTTCCGCGGTTGTAGAAGTCCTCCTTGCGCGTTTCGTTGGGCTTGAAGGGGTTCAGCCAGAGCCCCCGGAAGTAGACAGCGTTGAGCACGAGCAGCGGTGCCGACGGCGGCAGCGGTCGCTCGAGGATCTCGGGGATGCGGTCCTCGGTCATGTCGCGCACCCAGTTGTTGACGTCTTGGGCAGCCTCCCGTCCGTTTCCCGCGAAGTCCGCCGAATAGATGCCAGACGCGAAGTGCTTGTCCAGATCCTTCTTATAGCGTTCGAAGATGGGCAGGCCCGATGCGATGAACACGGCGCTGGCGATGCGCAGGTCGTATCCCTTCTCCGCCCGTAGGTCCTTGAGCAGCTGGCCGAAGCCGGCCGCGAGGTCGTCGCCGCTCACCTTGCCGAGCTTGTTGGAGCCGCCGGCGAGGGCCTCGTCCAGCTCCTGGCGGGTGCGGCCCCTGGCCCCGAGCTGCACCATGCCGAGGATGGCCGCGACGCTGACCGGCGACAGGAACACGTTGCCGCCCTTGGAGTCTACCTCGGCCAGCTTGCGGTACAGCGCCAGGCCCAGGTCGTTGGAGGCCCGGCTGACGGCGTCGCGGTCGGCGCGGGCCGCAGCGACCGCGAGCAGCAGCGCGACCAGGGTGCAGCGTTTCATGGCGTCGCGACTGTTGTGCCGGCGGCGCAGAACCGAGTTTTCGTAGCTACGGAAGAGGTACGTCCTCCGCAGTCACCAAGGCCGCCTTCTTAAACTTGCGCAAGGCGAGGGCTGCGAGCGGCGCGGCCGAGCACGTGTTCGGCTTAACTTAGCGGCCGCTTGGGATTTTCCCCCGCCGAAACCGGCTCGGCGTTGACGTCGGCGCGCCGAGGACTGCCCCTCCAGCCTCGTGAGATGCGTAACGAGCCCGTCGGTTCAATTTCCGCCGCCGCGATGAACGTGCGTGGGAGGGGCCGACCGCCGGAAGTGCCAGTCTGACAGTCGGTTGCGCCACGCAGCTCCCCTCGCCTTATCGGACTCTACCCCCGCGCTAACCCTCTGACGGAGATTTAAAAAAAAAAGGAAGTGTTAATGCGAACTCTTTCTGGGCATACTGAAAGCAAAATAAAGCTATGGAGGTTTGCGCGTTGTGAGGTAACGAGGAGGGGCGATGTTGCAGAGAGCTTTCGCTTTCTTTCGTCATTCGCGCAGCAGTGAACTGGCGACGACAACTCGTGCCATCAATCATTCTAAAGGCAAACAGACACGAGACGCGGTTCAGAGAGCAAGAGGGGGTCAGAGTCCTTGGCCCCGTCACCGGTACAGTATGAAATACCCTGCCTGGTTTCCTCGCCGGTGAACGGGCAGCGGATGGCCGCCGACAGAGCGAAATTTCCCCGTACGCGATCTCTGAGTGGGCTTATGTATACTGCTTGTGTGTACTGGACTACTGGCTGCTGAGTAATGGATTAGCGAGCGTCACATACACATTTTGCTGTGCTGGACGCGCGCAATAACCTGAAGTGGGCTTCCCCGTAGATCTTGGTTGCGCTGAAATTGGTCTTGCTCGAAGACATGCATAATTTTGGACATCGAAAATGTATTATTTTTTTAGTCATGGTTTATTCGAATTGTGGCTGTTTCGCGTTTTAAAATAAATACCAAAACAATTTTTTTTTTTTTTTTTTATAAGCACGTTGAAATGTATCTGCAATGTATTCGATGAAGAGGAAACGGATCTGGAAAAGGCTTCGGAGGTTAGAACAAAAGTATATGTATCAATAAAGATATCAGGTTGTGCGACTCAAAAATAGAAATAGTCAACATCTTTAAAACTCTCGGCATGTTTTTCACAAAACGGATTCGAACGACCACTCAAGCTACGTCGCGCCGAAACTATTAAGCACGTAAGCTTAACCTTCATACATCGTCCCATTTGACTGTAGTAGGTAATACTACAGTCAAGCTTCTATAGTACAAATTCTCTTATTACACACAAATTACCGTCATTTAGTGTGGGCAAATACCACACTCAGAAACTGTAAAACAATGCACATATTAAGAAGAATGTACTAAGAAATAATAATTTAGGACGGGGCACCTGATCGAACAACCTACCGATTAATCGATTAATGATTTAATCGCGATTAATTTTTTTAACCGGTGAATCGCATAAACTTTTTTTTTTTATGCAGAGTGTCTGCGCAATATACGAGTATACTCTATGCCTTCGCGTTCTTTGATTGTATAAGTTCTGAGGAAGAGGGAGCTCTTCAAGCTGACTTCTCAGTTTTGTTTAGCCATCTTCCCCCGTAAGACTTGGTGAGAAATAACGGTATTATTTTTTATCTCCCTACCAGTTATGACTTTGGGGTACATTAATAAACTTTTCTAGGGGTGTGGTGTACCGAGGACCTTTTACATGGTACATTCATGCTAATATAGGATCAACTCTGATTGTTCCGAGTTACTGGAGGCATTTGTGAAGTACACCATTTCCTACCTGTCTGTCTGAAGCATACATTATGCCGCTGCCTCTTTACTCCAAAACTAAGTACGGCGTCTTGGTCTGGGAAACAACGCTAACAACGAACTCTAATTCTCCTGCGGAAGAAAATCTCATTTATGTGCGAACATAACAAAGGGGAAGAAAGTGAAGCGCACAACCACTTCTTATCAAATAGCCATGACCAAGGTAGAGCGGGTATTTTAATTTTAATACATAGACATCAACATATTCCACCCCATACGAAGAAACACCTGCCTGTGTTCGCTTTTCGAGGTCCGAAACTGAACTTGCCGACTGTTAGAAACTATAGACGACAAGGGTTAAATTTACAAATAATTGAATAAATAAATAATAGTTTTTTTTTCAGATAGGCATGACACGTAAACTTTCATTGAAATTTTTTTTTAAAGATATTTTATGGAGTTGCTCGTGGCAAGAGCAATTCAATTTTTATCAGTGTAAGCCACTGCGAAGTTGTGATACGCTGATTCCGTGTTGTCGGACTTCGTTTCCTTGTTATTTTCGAAAAATGCTTTTCAGATTTTTGTTTTTTTTTGCCTGAAATTTAGATTTTATCGCAGTTCATTTTTGTTACATTCCAGATCTCCGAAATTCGAAGATTAATTTGAAGCGTCTTTTTTAATAAAAATATATAATAGCCTAATATAAACGCGTGCTATATTCAAAAGAACGCGTTTGTATGAAATGACATTTCTTCACTTTGATTTGGCGTTGCCGCACTTGCTATTGGCAATACTAATCCGTTTCACGACAAAGCTCGAAAACGAGTCGATAAATCTCGATACCTTCAAATCCACGCACATTATTTCATAAATGTACATAAATGTAAAGTTAATGTAAAGGCGTGTTCCTATCTTTGCAAAGTAGCGGGAACGCGTTCCTTTCCAAATATTGGAACCTCTAACGGGAACAACGTTCCATAAGTAAGAACGAACGAGTTTTCGCTCCCATTTTGGAGGAAGGTGTACACTACTGCCTGGAAGTTACCCTTCGCCCATATACAAGAGGTGTAGGGTGAAGAGGACACCGTGACTGACGGACGAAAATGACTAGGAATTTGGTTGTTTGTTCATAAATCTCTTCTCGCGCGCAATCCTTTCAGTCAGATTTTCGTCACGATTTCCTATCTTCCCTCGTGTCTGCGTCACCGGAAAAGAAATTTGGAGGCAACCGATTCCGGGCAACATGGCACCAAACATGTGGAATCTTTGACTCATTCTTAAGACAACAGATAAGCTTCTCCGAAATAGGAACGACAACGAGCGCATTTCAACAATCGCACTTGAAAGTGGGACGAGAGAAAAATAAAAACGCGATATTTTGGGAGTTTTGTGACTTGCCAAAAACAAGTCAGACGTTGCTTACGCGGAAAACAATCTGCTATGAGCTAAATCGTCAGCGGGGATGACAAAAGAAAGAAAGCATGGCCGCAAGAGCAGCCTCGGTCATATCCGCCGGGTTCTTGGCTGCTGACCAGAGATTTCCGCTATCAGGGCGAATCGTTCTGATGTCAAGCGCGTCGTCATACCGAATCGGAGCTGTGTGCTCTGCGAGCGTGTGCCAAACATTGACGACGCGTCTCGGGGGGTTTCCCCATCCGTTTCGTGTTTAGTCAAACGTGAGGCGTCGCTTTCAGCTTGTCTATTTCGGTCCATTTAGTGTGCCGTACAACGTGCACTCAAAAATAAACGATGCAGGGCCGAATGTTTAGCCTACCCCCAGGTGTACCTCTAGCGGTCCAAACCGAATGTCAATGTTTCATAACTAACGGTTATCTTATTCAAAAGTTATGGGTAATTTTTTGAGAACATCAATGGGGAAAAAGGGGCCCGTTCTTAGTAACTGTAGGGCCAATCAGCTCCATGTCCTAGACCTATAGAGGGCTCTGTCGGCCGCCATCTTCCCATCGAAAATTTAAAAAAAAAAGAATAATAATAACTTGTAATGTTTTAATAAGACAACGGTTTCTTCCGAAGCTTTAGTTCCTGGTTCGGACCGCTAGCGCTACATTTGGGTGCAGAATGAGCGTTCGGTCGTGTGTAGTTTGTTCTTGCAGTAGAAAAAAATTTATAAATATATATATATACGTTCAAAACGTAGAAGGCAAACAAGCGCATACACACAGAGTAGAAGCCTAAAGTCCCCTGCGCCCTCTCTAAGCTTCATTGTGGTAGACATAAGATGAGCAGACACGAAAAAACGGAAAAATTCATGACGTTTGCGAGGCTCGGCGTCGTTCGATTGGCCCCTCGACTCGTACCATCTGTTCCGCTTGGATTTTAAGCTGAAGCGAACTATACAGCTTTTTAACGAGGGCGCAGCCATCTTCAATGTCGTCACTTCTGGGATGCGTTAAGACATCGTTTTGATTTTCATCCCTCCACGCCGCTGGAAGGTGTTCACGAAAAATGCGCGATTGTTGCACATTCTTGTTTTGCCTCACCCATATTTTCTCGCATACTCCAGGTTGAAATGTATTATTTGTTCGTCTTACATACCAGATGCGGAACTCACGTGACTGAAAACGAAAGGAAACAAAAAAACTTGTATAGAATGGGGAGTGTTGTTGCCGCTCTAGAGTATAAAGTTGAGCGCGCGGAAAATCAGTGACGTCGCAAACGTCCCCTTGCACGTACGATTTCGTTCTATCATTGTGGCGAAGGGGTGTATCAGAGCATCAAGCTTTCCAATAAGCTTTAAGCGTACAATTAAAATAAAGGAGGACACTTAAGACCGCTTAAGTGTAGGAATGCGAAAGCATTCGTTCACGCAGCGCACTCCTACAAGCAGCGCGCCCCGCTATCCTCCGCAGAGGCAGCCGCCGGCCGGCCTCTGCGGCGGCTGCGCGCGTCACCTTTTTTAGCGCGAGGGGCCGCAGCGCCAGGAAGAGGGCTTCTCTGTGGGGTGGCGTTCCTTGGAACTATGACGCGTCGCAGTCATTTTAACTGCCGTTTCGCTCAGGGAGGGAATTCAGGAGCCGTTTTTCGCGGTTACAAACTTCCCACTGAGCTAAACAAAAAAAAAACAATTTATGCTTTCGCATAAAAAAAAAATAAAAAACATCTGAATCTTTATTGGTGAACGTTAAATCTGTGCGCCGCCGTGAGCTCATTTCTGCGATAGCCATCTAGGGAAAGTACGATTGCACGCATACGCTAAAGATGGCGTCACTGTCGTTTTATATGTATTAAGTGCACAGCACGGCGCTTCAGCTGCTGGCGTTAGGACGCGCCCCATCCCCCTTTTTTTTCGTACGTCATCCTGCTTCCGTTATTCGCCGCAATAGTTTTCCGCTCTACTTGCGGCATTCGTCGAGCCTCGCTGCCCGATGAACACGAACTGATCTTGGTGGCTGTAGAGCGAGGTTACATGCACTTTTAAAAAAATGGCAGTGATCTTTAGTTCTAAAGTCCTATAATGTAGAAATTACAGAGAAGAGGCAAGCGAGCTGGTGAACTTTCA